TATCAAAGTAAAAAAAATCTTTCCTTATATGAAAAATATTTCGAGTCCGCAAAGAAATTGTTTAACAACTGAATGCTCAGAATCGTGTCAAATGGAAAGTCATAAGTTATACCTCTAATTTTGTTATATGAATCTAGTGCGGTACACTCAAGCATTAGGCTCTCGTTAAAATTTTTATTTATCTTTTTATTTTATTATAACGAAGGGAAATACTTAAATATTACGTTGTATATTTCCTATTTTAATAACTGTGTTTAAAAGTTCCTAACATATGTATAGTTAATTATTTTTATTTTTGAAGAAATAAATATATTTTATGCTGTTTATTTTTGTGTTAAGAAATATCTTTAAATGATGCAAAATTAACATATAATAAAACTAATAGTACTAATAAACTAATACTAACTAAAGATCTATATAATTGACCTCTATTCTCTAATTCTGCATGCATTTTCGTGGGAATCCAAATATTTCAAACATATCCTACTGAGTGGCACGCTGAATATTATAGGTAGGTTAGTTTAACACGCCAGAACTAAAAGGTTGCTGACCCCTGATATATACATACGAAATTTTATTAAAATCTGTTCAGTAGTTCTAGAAATAATCAACAAAATCTGAAAATTCTCTTAATTTTGAACACTAGTGTATATATAATTTGAAATTACGCATGGAACAGGCTAATTGCTCACACACTCTAATACCTGTTTGAACTGTGGATTTATACACCGTTCTCTCTCTCCAGTTAATGATACTCTAGGATCAGTCAAGAATGGGTAAGCCAGTATCATTACGTTTACAATGGATAATGTAGATATACTATGAGATTCAGGAGATTTGCGATTTGAACTGCTGTTCTGTGAACTGTGGATGCGTTTCGAAATGTCCATTTTGGATTGCCAGCTGCATCTTGTCATTCTATTTAACCCGACACTTTCCAATTATTATCAAAGGTGGTTGTTATTCTGTAATGATTATGTGATGATTTTATTTTTGTTGAACTAAAATCGTATTATCTCTTCACGTCAATAGTTTTTAACGAGTGAACCAAGACATGTAGATATACCGTCAGGTAACTGTAATTAAGTTTGGAAAATTGTTTATAAAGTTATTTAAAAAGATTCAAGCACAATTGATTCTATTAAACATGAATATTTTTAAATTAATCATATTATGTAATATAAATGTACATGGTGCAATATTTTTAATGTTATATTTTAATTATTTGTATAATTTCCGCTATTATTTAAAGTATTGCGTGTATTTTACAGTATTTAATTTGAAAAATCATACCTTTTTGTTACAAATTAAAATAATCTCATATTCTGTATGGTTTAATAAATCATTAAAATGATCGTTACTTTTATTGTAATGTAGTAAAATCTTAATAATAAAAGAATATTAAATTTTCCCCTTTTTACACTAGATTATGAATATTCTGTTATTTATTGACCTAGTTTCTGAAAAATAATTTTATTCTAGTTAAATGGAATGAATTGGATTTAGGCGACAATGCTAAAAATTATACAATAAAGTACTTTTTCCATTTATAATAAAAAATACAGCCTATAAGAGAACATTTTTAAAAAACACCTAAAACCAAAAAATAATATTTCCCAGAGGAGAAAATCAAGCATGAATGCATAAATTCGAAGACTTGACAATGAAGAAGAAACTACTTATCGACATATCTTTTGATTCTACGTTAAAATCTAAATTTAAGTAGGAATAGCTCCTATATTTTAGGTTCAAGATTTCTCACACAGCTATGGGCATTGCATTTTAATGCTATTCAGAAGAATGTATTTATGAGGAATATTTCTGAACGTATTTGCCAATAAAAGCAAAATATAAAAACCAACTAAACGCAAAAAATGAAATGCGAATAAAGATAATTTCAATAGCCCAAAACTTCGACAATTTGGTAAAAAAAATACAAACTCATATCCCAGTTACTAAATACAATGAAATTTAAAAATATTATTAAGATCAAAGACTATAAAGTAACTGATGCTGACATGAGTTTATTACAGGTGCATTACGGGTGAAAATAGAGATTTATTAAAAAAAAGAATACTTTCTGTTTTCGCTTTGATATAGCAATTTTTTTTCCTACATAGATAAATATAATTATTTTTCTAAGTAAAAAAAATAAAAAAACAATTCAGTTAAGTACTAAAAAGTAACTCTCAATGCGCAATAAGTTGCATATATAAGATAAATAAAAAATTTTTTTTGAAGTGAAAACTTCTTTAGCGGCGTTGGGCACTTTTTGGTAGGGGAAAATCTTATGAGTTCGCGTCACCGACATGCTCTGACTGGCGCATGCGCAGTGTGCTGTTCGCCTTACACACTTTTTGGATGGGTGAAATCTCGTGCGTTCGCGTCATCGAAATGCTTATAGCAGTATATCTGTAGCTATACAGCTGACGTATAGTGCTTTGTATATCTTATAAGTGAAGTTGAATGGATTTAGTGAAAAGTTCAATGTGTATATACTGTGCATTGCTTGTTGCGATTCCGAGAATGGGCAATACATGTTTATGGTTGCCGTTTATATTTCGCCTGGAAAATCTATGAGACAGATACAACAATTTTTATTCGAAAATTTGATGATTTATACAAAAGAAGGTTCTGAAATACTCAAATAAAGATTCGGCGAAAAATATGATAATGTACCGATGATTTTAAGTGGAGAATTCAATATTACCTTTGCAGATGATAAAAATCTACCACTAACTGAATTTTTAAATGAAACTATTTAAATATGTCCAATGATCGAAAACTCAATACTACAAAATATAAAACGACGATCGATGCGGTTTTACCCCGCTTTACTTGGATAAATTTGAATCAAACATTTTCCTTTCTTTACCATAAGCCTATTGTATCTTTTTTAGAACAAAATGAAATAATTGAAAGTACAAAAAGTCTAAGTATTGTTGAAATTAAGGATGACAATGATGCAAACAATTAAAATAATGTTAAAAATCAAGTACATTGAAATTTAAGTAAATACAAATACTATCCATAAATAATATGATTGTATATTAATTGCTATTTCAATTGAACTGTATTTATATTTTGTCATGATCTTGTACAGCCCGTTATATATTTGAATAATAAAAAACCATATAAACATGCATTTAGTTGTTGCTCGGAGTGTCAATAGATGTGAAAACCAGATTGATGTTGATAATTTTAATTCAAACATTATGAAATTTCAAATTTTAATACTAAAAGTTCTAAAGTTTTCACTTCTATCGGCAGTTTCTATAACTGCCAATTTTTTATTCATAAATTTCGTTTAGTTAAAATAAATAAACACATCGTTAAATGATACAAATAGACAAAGTAAATAATTATATTTTTATTCTTTGAAAACGGATTAAACTTGTATAAATAAGATATTACTTTTTAATAAACAGATCAATTGCTTGTTTTCAGTGATTTATTTAGAATAAAATAAAAAATCTACTATGTGTCTATAAAAAGGGATCTAATGATTAAATATATCCCATTAATTTCTTATTAAACCTCTATTATTAGTTCCACTTCCTTAGGGTTATTTATCGAGCCTCTAATTTATTTGCCCTTACGAAAAAATAAATTTAAAAGCCAACTTACGCTTTCACGCGCATGCTCTCTAAGCGTTATGGTTGATCTAATTAATTTTCTACATCATTTTTTCCCACTTTAGTGTTGAACAATGTGTTCCGAAATTTCGATACAATTTTAAAACTCCCATCTTGCAATATTTGTCAAATTTTAATTAATTTCGCTCTAATTAATGGACTTCACCCCAGGGGGAATCACTAATGTTCATGCCCGTTAATTAAAGATTCGAGCTTTGTGTGCACGCATGTTTCGAAACTAAGGGCTAAACCGTAAGAGCATCGATTTTTGAAACAAAGTTCATGAAATGTTGAATGGTAAGATTAAAAATGAAAAGCAAGTTATGTGTGTTTAGTAAAATTCTTTTGTCGCAGGTAGCCTCCAGGGACTAATTTGTCTTAAACGTTTTTTATTTTTCCTTTTTATTGTTTTTATTAGGTTGAGTTGATTTCGTACTTTTATTTCGAATTTTTTGACACGTTCTAAAAATAAAAAAAAAATACCGGATTATATATATATATATATATATATACAAACAAGAACTAAATTTCGTAAAAATTAACATTTTTGTAAATTCAATTTCTTATTGTTATTAAAGCTTATATTTTAAATATTTTTTTAATTTGTGAGTAGTATATGCAACAAACAAACGAAATGATATTTGAATGATAAATTTACAGTCCGAATCCGATCCACCAAGCTCCTAATTTACGAAATTCGTGATTTAACGAATTTTTCTTTTCATCCAATTAAAAAGAAGGGGGAAAACCCCATTTAACGAATAATAAACTCCCGATTTAACTGATTATTTCAACAGGTAAGAAATTTTTTTTATTAGTTTCGATTAGAAAAAAATTAATTTCTTTCAAATGACACATCCTTTTCTTTCCGAAACAGAAAAGGGCTTTTCTTATTAGCTGCAAATCTCAACGGGAAAGGGTACAGCTTATTATTAGACTTTACGTATGCAGATGAGCCAGCCATGAGTGCAGCATATCGCGTGAGTTTTGAATAGGGTAGGAATTTTCTTTCTAATCTCATCCAATGGTAACAGTAATTTTAGCAAATGAATAAGAAGTGTACGATAGCTAATTATGGATATTTTTTGTGTAGATGCTTATTATAAAATTACCAAGAGGAAAGTGCAAAAAAGTTGTATTTTTTGAACTCCAATATAACAAATAACTCCGAATTAACGAACAAAATCTTCGATCCCGATGAATTCGTTAAATCTGTGTCTGACTGGATATATATGTATGATTTTTTCCTACAAATCATCAAAGAAAAGAGTGAAGAAGTTATAGACGGAAAATCTCTTCTTCATTAGTTCTGCTTTAAAGTAGAAGTTATATTACGAATGATTATTAACGTTATTTAGCCTCCCAGCCAGTATAGTGGATATGACCCTCGGCATGTAACTGAGTGGGCTCGGGTTCGAATCCCGGTTAAGGCATGGATGTATCTTCGGGAAAAGAAGTCGGACTTTTGCTTGAAATTGATTCCCGTCTAGAATAGAAAGCAGCGCACCCTTTCTGTTGTATACTGGGATCATCGTCTGTAATCTTCTGTGTTTGCACTGTATGTTTCTGTCCTTGTATCTCAGTATAAAACAGACGACAACAACATTAATGTTATTCACTTCTCTTTTCTAGTCTAGATTGTATTTCTCCTAAAGAAATGTTTGTGAAGTGTAAATATTTACCCCCCCCCCCGTAGTTTTCTTATACTTTTGCTTAACATTTGTTAAATATTTTATCAGGCGTTAAAATGATAAGGGCTCATTTCTAAAAATTCGTACATATTAATTCATGAAATTCGTAACACAGATAGTTATACAGTACTCGGCAAATACGCCTGATTTTGAAATTCGTTTTTTGATTGCTTGAGAAGTTTTTTTGTTCACAGATAATTATATGTTTGAAACAGCTTTAAAGAATTCTCATTATAAATTCTTATTATATTGTAACATGTATACTGGAAAATCCTTTGTATACCGCGCGCCTATACTTTCAAGCTGCATTTTTTTATTTTTAATTGTTATACTATATTCGTCTTAAATGCGCTTCCCCTTTTTTACGAAGGAACCTGAAATGTACGTATGTAATGTTCTTAAATTTTTTATTCGAGTATTATCCCTCTCATGCGATTGAAAAAATAGAATACTTCTAGAACTACAACTCTTTACGTTCAGGAGATGTAAGATATTCTTTAAATAAAAAATATTTCTATATGTGTAGAAGTTTAATTTTCTTTTATATGCTCATCTCTTTTTTTTATTTTTAAATGTATTGTTACGAATTTTGTGTAAAATAGTGTAAATAATCTGCATTTGGATGTGTAATACGTTTATATTAACTCTATGTTATATTTATTTTACATTAAAATTGTAATATATTCGCAAGCAACGCCATTTCTTACGTTATAATGGCAATTCAATGAAAACTTGGCAAAATCTTGGAGCCAGAGCCAAGTTATCATTATTTTTGGCGACCAAGTTGGTGACTTGGTGATCACTTTGGTGACTTTGGTGACCATGTTGGCGAACCATTTTGGTGAGTTCGGAACCCTTTGGATTCTTCAGGAAATTTGTGGAGAAATCCACTAATTTCCAAGATTTATGACGCAAGCGGATCTTTCTCGAAGAACCCGCGAGGTCTATAAACAGAGAGATGCCCCCGAAAATGAGGTAGTATTGTTTTGACTAGAGATTAGTAGTCTTGTTTTGACAGTGAAGAGTCTAGTGATTTGCTCGGCTGTTGAAAAGGTGCTTGTGAATAATCTTTTACACACGTGTATTTTAGAAACTGATATTTGTGTCTGAGCGCTGGAAAAGGTGTAAAGACCTTCTGAAATTTATCCTGCGAATTTTGCTGCTGAATCATGTATTTCAAAAATTGTTTTATCGACAAATTCGGATCGCTCTTAAAGAACTGCCTTGTTCTTTGCGACTGATCTGCATGAAATCCTCGAATCCCGATCAACGTAACTGTATCATTTTTATACTCAGTGTATAACTCGAACATGTTAATTTTTACCTTATTCTTTTGTGTTAAAAGAGCATGATAAACGCCGCATTTTACGGTAAATATACTGTAAATATTATTTGCATTATAAAAGTACTCCACTGAAATGCGCTTAATTTCAATTAAATGGATCATTGAATGCATTTTTCAAGAAATTAAAAGTTGTAATCAAACGAAATTGGGTGGACGTGATAACCGAGTGGTCTTCATGAAGTTAACAATGAAATTCCGCAATGTAGAGGGACGCTAAATTTGTCGAGGTTCTTAAAGTCCTCTAATTTGGTTGTGGTGTAGAAATTTGGAGAGCTGTGTGCCTGCTAACGTGTCATTTTCGTTACTTTATTGCGATTCATATTTACGTGGCCCGTCATCAATAGTATTCATGATACCTCCAAGTGCGAGCTAGTTAAACAACAATCAATCAAATGGAATTTGTTTAAAAACATTTCAGAGAATATATTTCTCAAGAACTAAAAAAATATGTGAGTAAAAAAATGGCTTAAAAAATAACTTATTTCAGGCATTTTTATATTTGCATTTACATTTAATTTCTTGTAAATAATGATAATTCTTGTTTTTAAATACTAGTAGGTTCAAATTCAAATATTCATGTGAATTATCAAAATGTTCTTTGGATGATATATGTCTCAAATGCTTATATTTTAAATTCTATCATTAAACTCAGTTGATTGAAAAAACTTATTGCTATATATATAATCAAAATTTCTCTACAAGAGAGAGAGAGAGAGATGAATAAATCTGATCAAAACTGAAAAGAATTGAAATTGCAAGATAACCAGACAATAGAATTTAAAGGAAAAAAGAAAAATTAAATTTAAATATAAAAAATATAAAACTAGGGATGCTACGGTTTTATAAACATAGCTGACGTAGGACAGCTTGTATATAAAATAATTTATATAAAAGTGGGGTTGAGAAAATGTTTTGTGGCCAATCAAGCTTCATCCTATAGTATTATAAATAATATAAAAGAATGGATTCTACAGTATTATAATATATATATATATATAAAGAAGCATTTTTATCATCGAATAATTTGTGCTACAAATACTGTTAATAGAAGACATCTTTCGAAAAATGCTCATTTTTTTAAACGAATAATTTATTTTATGAGATTGTATTTCAGATTATAGTGTAAAAATACTATATGTAAATACTCAAAACTGGTTTTACACTTATCTGTGCCTACGGCCAAATGATTAATTTTACGCCTTGTTTTCCTTTTTCAAAATTTATAATTTATAATATTCAGTTAAATGTAGACTAATTGAATGCTAGTTATTTAAATTATTTCTGACTGTATTAAATTTATTGCGAAATGATACGATACACACGAAATTGAATACCGAATTTGAATGCGAAACCTTAATCTCGATGGCTAAATCCTTAAACTTCATTGCTTTAATATTATAGCGTACATCAATGGAAACTTTAAAACAATGTTGTTACTAATGTTGCGTAATTAATGCTTAAAATAGAGTAAGTAATCTGTATCTGGTTGTTTAATACATTGATATTACTTTCTGTTGTATTTATTTTATGATAAAAATTGTAATATTTGCAAGCAACGCTCCCCGTTTCATAATAATGACGTTTCAGTCGAAACTTGACGAAACACTGGCGATACAAACAAGGCAGCATTTTTGGCGATCAAATTTGGCGAGTTGGTTACTCTTATTGTTGAATTGGCTGTCATACGGATACTTCTGGAATTTACTGTAGATATCTGATTACATCATGATCTATAACGTAAGCGGATCTTTCGGGAAAGAGCTAGAAGGCAGCCGTGCAGACTATAAATAGGAGACACTCACTGAAACTGTTGTTTCTTGCATTTTAAGGCTTGTTCTTCTGCAATAAAATTTTATTACTTTGAAATAAATGTTTTACTTCTTAAACTGATAGCATAAAACCCACGAAACCCGATCTACGTCACAATATCATAAAATTGATAGACAATAATTCATCCTTTGAAAAATTTACAAATTGCAATAATTTGTTTTAATGCTAAACTTGATTCAATTCGTGTTGAATAATAGTGTCTAAAATAAATAATTTGAATGAAATTAATTGTTTATACTGTTGAAATATTTATGTATAATATATTTTTAATGGGTAATAATAAATAACTACAACCTCCGAGAATAAAATTCAGTGAATAGTCCTGTAACATTAACGTAGATGAAATATTAACGAAAGTTATCTTACTGTCCTTCGAAATTGTCTCCTCCCATAACTATGCACCGCTAAGATCTGCTATACATGTCCTGGTAACTTTGTAAGAAGTCTTCCTTTGGGATGAGTTCAAAACCCTGGTCCCATTTCATTGAATATTAGGAATACCGTCAAAAAAGATAACATGTTTTTCTTATCCCTAAATTCTATGTAACGATATGTCGCACGGATTCACGGTTAATCTGCAGTTCATCAGCTATCATGCGCACAGTTAATTGGCGATCTTTCGTGATTAATTTTCTCACTTTCTCAATGTTTTTGTCGCTGACGGAGGTCGCCATTCTTCCGTAGCGGGGGTCGTCAGAAACACTTTCCCTGCTTTTCGTAAACAGGTGAACCATTCGTACACACACTTCATGGACAGTGCTTAATTTTCAAAAACATGTTCCAGTATCATAAGTTTATTTTGGAGTTTTGCCAAGCTTAAAAGGAACTTAAAACTGATCTTTGTTCGTTCGTTTTCCTGTTCTCAATTAAGAACCAACATACTAAA